AAACCCACAACCCTAACGCACAAGCTACAGGGCAAATGGTTATAAAAAAATAAACAGTACAACTAAACATTCTCCCTAAGACTAGCAAGAGAAAATTCTTTTATTAGAAAAAGAATTTTAGGACACAATAGCAACTTTCAACATATTTAGTGTAAATGTGTATTGATTAGGAATGTGGAAACCAACGTAAAGGGTTTACCTGCAGACCATATTATCATTAATCAACTGGGGCCATCCACACAGAATCGTAACATTTTATCTGAGCAGGATATGCTATTTCTACTGCAGCTTCACCAACCGTTTCAGTACCGACCTTTCCCGTGGTGCTTGGGTGAGAATAAAACACTTCTTCAAGCCTAGGGGTGGGCTGAGGCATGAGGCCTCCTCAGTGAGAGGGGTGGTGGGAGGCACTATTTACAGAGCATGAGCTGCACCTGCAGGTGCCCGGCCAGGGCTCGGAGCAGAGCTGTATTGGGGCTGCATCAGGCTGCAGGGTGCCCAGGGGCCGGTGCTGAGAGCCAGCAGACAGCCACTCAGGAGGATGTCAGGCTCCAGGACAGCGGGCTGGCCCGAGAGAGCTGCCCACTCCCCATGCGTGTCATTCTTACTTTCCCATGTATCTTTGTCCTTCTGCCCGATAGGAGCAGCTGGCCGATGGGGAGGGGAGAGCAGATTTTGTGGATGACCTGCCGCTCTCCCATACTGCCGGCGGGATTGGCATAAACGCTCATACAGGATTCAACCCTGTCTCTGCTTCATTGGCTCAAGTAGTGACCAGCAGCCCAGGCCTGTTGGTTGTCCGGTTTTACATTCTGGCCACTCTGGTGGGACGAGAAGAAGGGGAGTCCTCCGGGGTGACTACTGGGGATCCCACTTGCTGTCTGGACTGGGGTTCCTGGGGCTGAGGCCTGGACTCTTATCCGAAGCACTGCCAGGAATGCTCCTGTTGGAGTCCCAGCCACAGCCTCAGCCATCCCCGTGGGCGGATGCCATCGGGGATGAAAGACTGCAAAAGAACTGGGCTCCTGGGAACCCTCAACTGCCTCTCCACGGCCCAGACCGCGTGAGGAAGGGCCTACTGTGCTCAACGTACAAGTAAGCTGCCTTTGTTTTCATTAGAGGTCAAAAGGAAAAGGTTAAATACAGTGGGGCCTTGACTTAGGAGTGTCCCGACTAACGAGTTTTTTGAGATACCAGCTGTCTCTCCAACGATTTTTTGCTTTGAGTTGACAGAGTAATTTGAGTTAACGAGCTCCTTAACGAGCTCCTTAACGAGCTTGGTCTCGGAACGAATTAAACTCGTAAGTCAAGGCCCCAGTGTTCCATGTGTATCCCACATACGCATGGTACTTTAATAAGGTCTCTGACCTTCCTTTCAAGGTTAATTTTCTTCTACTTGCTCAATTGTTTCACATTCCTCCATCTTCAGGAGCACATGGAAGAGAGAGCAAGAAAGAGAAAGGAGGGGGAGGGGGGGTGGGAGGAAGGAGGGGAATGATTTCAAGCTGGAAACCCCCCTTCAGTTTTCCCAAGGGCAGGACAGTGAGTAACAAGAGGCCTTAGAAGTCGAACCTGCCCCATGGCTCCGAGAGCTCAGAACGCGGCTCAGGGGCCACAGTTCCAGGGGCAAGAGCAGTCTTCAGGGTGCAAGTGTTTTCCTTTCTTCCCTCGGGTCCTTTTCTGAAATGGTTTTCTCTGTGCATTTCCTAACACTTGGGCAAGACATAAAGTCTGGGAAATAGAACGAATTCTTACCCATCTATAATATTCCTTCTCTTAAGCTTTCCCTGCTGTGGAATAAACAGCAAAACTTCAGAAATGAGAGCTTCCTTTAAGACCAATAGCTTTGATCTCTTCTTGTAACAATAAATTTAAAAAATCAAAACCATTGAAAATTCTTAAAAATTCAAAATTTCTGGAAAAATACTCGCCCCCCCCACACACACACACACCCACACACACCACCACCACCATCATCCCCATCACTCTCTTCTGCTCCAGGATTCTCAGTATCTTTCTATTTGGCTTTTAGCCCCCACCGCTTCCTGAGTGTGGTCTGTGCAGGAACAGGGAGACCCCACTTGCTCAACTGGCCAATGAGCAAGGGATCCACACCAGCTTAAAAAAAAAAAAAGTCCCTTCAACGCTCTGGCAGCTGAGAAAATGCCCAAATGTGGGCACCAGAGGGTCCGTCTTCTCCACCCTGGGAAAGAAGCTATTCTCTCTGACATAGAAATCACACTGGACACTCTGCACAGTAGGGATGTCCCACCTTTGGCCATGTGTCTTTGCTCGCTTTGACCACCAGGTGGCGCAGATTCGAATCTAAGCTCAGCATTCAAGTGCACAGGACTGCAGTTTGTGTACTAATCTAACCACTGGCTTTAATCTTTTACCCTTATTCCCCCCCCCCCCAATCATATTCCTCCATATATATTTTATATTTTTTTAATTTACCAAATTCATTCTTTATTGGATGAGTAACTGGGAACAAATTCGCCATTACCTTTGTGAAAATTTTGCTTGTTTATAATGATCCCCACCAACTTATCTTCATTTATACTGTGGGTATTTTTATAAGCTCCCATATGGAACCAGATGAGGAATCAATCAACTGGTACATGAATCTTCCAACATGGGAGGATGGTCAACAGTGCTTGGGAGGACACGCCAGCTCTCCCCGAAGGAATCACTTGCCAACACACTGAGCCGGTTCTGGGTCCCCGCGGGCAGCACAGACAGGAACTGGCGGCAAGAAAAGGTGCCACCAGGTTTCTGAGGCCAGAGCAGCGCTGAGCCACAGAGGGCCCATGTGGCAAGGCCTGGCGAGCGGACGCCCACAAGGTGGCGCTGGTGAGACCAGAACAAGACCACGGATAAACGAGAAGAGCCGCGGAGCAGAGGGCAAACACCCCTCTTGGGAACTGGGAAAGGCCTCCTGGACTGAAATTGGACTGAAATTCGGGAAATAGGAGGAACCTGAGCTGAGCTGAGCTGGTTTCAGCTCCCAGTGAGACTTGAAATAAGTTTTACAAAAATAAAGAAAATGATATGCCGTGCACATGAGTTTGGGAACTGAATGTGGAACCCACTCTCCATAGCAAAGTCAGTGTGTGGCGCCGGGCAAGGGTCCAGGGACGTCAGGTTAACTTTTCCTGAAACGCAGCCCCGGGTGGGCGTGGGTCCCCCCGGTGGCCTCCAGGGAGCGGCCCGGGCCCCTGAGTTTCCCAGTTTACTAAGCGGGTGTGGACACGATCCCAGAAGCAAGTTTATGCGTCGCTGGACCGGAGCCAGCCCAGAGAGGGCCGCACAGGTGACTTCCGTCCGCACTATGCCACAGGGAGATTTCCCACGTACAGGGCACGACTCTAATAATGCGGTCACAGCACATCGCAAAGGCGAGCGGCAAAGGGGCCACCGAGCTTCACTTACAAACAATCCCAGGAGAATGTAGTTCGCAGGCACCTGGCGGCGGAGATCCTCACAGCAGGCGAGCACGATGAGCACCCCGAAGAATGCGGGGCTGCGGACCGTTTAAAATCAGGTGTCATTTGCGTCCAATGATCATATCACGTGACACAGGTGGATAGAGACAGAGATGTCATTATATATTAATACCTGATAATAAGTTTTGTAAAGTAAACCAAAGTGTGAATTATCATCTTTACCCCTTTTTTTTTTTTCACTTTTAAAACTAACTTTTCTCATTGCTATCCACAGGTAGTTTGTGGGCTCTTTTAACATTTTTTTTGTTTTGAAATAATTGTGAATTCATTGGAAGTTGCCGAGGGGCAGAGAGGCCCCCTTTGCTTCGTTTCCCTTAATGGTTCCATCTCACATTATTTATAGTCTATAATACTAATGCCAAAGCCAGTAATTTGACACTGGTACAGTGTGGGTATATAGCGCTCTGCATAAGACTATGGCATAAATCTATGTGCAGATACATGTAACCAGTACCACAATCAAGACGTGAAACTATCCCATCATTAAAACATTAACAAAGGTCTCCCTGTGCTATCCCTTTATGGTAACACACACACACACACACACACACACACACACACACCCCTAATTCTGGCAACCACCAACTTGCTTGTTTTCCATGTCTACAATTTTGTCATTTCAAGAATGTTATATCTTTAGGGGGTGTGGATGTGGGTGGAGATAGAGGAGGGTATGGGAGGGGATTAAAAATGATAGAGAAAAAGAAATAGCTATAAAAAAAGAACATCTCTGATTAATTTTTAAATGAAGAACCTTGATCAATAGCTAGTAGAAAAAAAAACACTTTTAATTAAATCCAATAATACTTACAAGATTGCATAGGTGAACCAGGGATTCCTGTGCACCCAGTTTTTTAAACCTGGCCTGGTTTAAAAAAAAAATCGATAGTTTTACTCAAGAAGTACTTAATTTTGCTAACTAATGTAATACTTAAGTAGAAGTAAAACCATCTCACGAGAATGGGGACACTCTAAATGACTGACAGTGACAGAGGTGAACAACTCAGTGTCTCATTAGCATCAGCAAAGAAGACTTACCAGAAAATAAATACAGCAATGATTGCCCCAGTGAGCACCAGCTGAGCAGACAGGAGGAGGAACACTTTTACAATGAAACCTGAGGAGACAGAGATGTTATTTTTGAGATATAATCTTCAAATGTAGTGATATAGTGCAATGCAGTGACCTATCTTTGATACTTAACCAAAGAAATGTTTCCTCTGGCTTTTGAGGCTGGGAGAGGAGCGCTGGTTTTGAGCGAGCCGACTGAATGAGGACAGCTCTGCAGGCCCATCTGAGAGTTTCATTGGAGGGCTGAGGGTGTATGCATGGAAGCCCCAACATTTTAAAGGCAAACTCGGGAATGCAGTTCCCTCTGAGGCACACCCTGTCCTCTTAGGCCCCAAAGTGATCTGAAAGGCCCGGGGGGTCCAGCCACACCCGTGGGCAAAATGGAGACCAGAGGAGCCTGCAGGAAGGCTGGCAGAGCGGGTGCGTCCCCCTGGGGCGTGGCCGTGGCCGTGGCCTTGGGCTGCAGGGAGTTGGCAGAGCTTTTCCACCACGTTTCTCTCCCACCACCTGCCTTGAGCCACTCCCTTCCCGGCTACCTGAGCAGAAACTAGGTAACCTGATGGACTGTGAGCCGGACCAAGGAGCCCCACGAGTGGCCTCCCACGACAGAGCGCCTAGGCCTCTCTGTTGCATGCTTCCTGCTGCGCAGCTGTTCCTGGGGTCTCTGAAGGGGTGCTGGCAACGACAAGCTACCTTTCGGTGGTTTTATGCCAGTTTTAAAAGGAAAAAAAGAAATGCTGCTTAAAGTTTTAAACCTGGCCTGGTTTAACCTGTGGGTCGAGACCCCTTTGGCGGTCGAACGACCCTTTCACAGGGGTCGCCTAAGACCATCCTGCATATCAGATATTTACATTACCATTCATAACAGTAGCAACATTACAGGTATGAAGTAGCAACGAAAATAATTTTATGGTTGGGTCACAAGATGAGGAACTGTATTTAAAGGGCCAGAAGGTTGAGAACCACTGACTTAGAGGATCACGACTGTGTCCTTTTGCTGGGTTGTTTCTGGGCATAGGAGGTGTGACGGTGGCAAAATGGGCCTGAGCTACCTTAATGAAAACACCAGAACGTATTTACCCAAATGTGCTCTGCCTACATTAAAATAGTCACATCGACTATGTATGTATCAGGATATGTGAGAGAATGAATATTAAATGGCCCGCCTCATGAGACTAGACATGCAGATCAATGGAATAGAATTGAAAGTCCAGAAATAATTGTTGAGAATGTATGGTCTGCAACAGCATGGATGGAACTGGAGAGCATTATGCTAAGCAAAATAAGCCAGTCAGAGAAAGATGAATATCACATGATCTCACTCATTTGTGGAATATAATGAACACTAGAGGCCCGGTGCACAAAAATTTGTGCACTCGGTGGGGAGGGGGGGTCCCTCAGCCCGGCCTGTGCCCTCTCGCAGTCTGGGACCCCTCGAGAGATAACGACCTGCTGGCTTAGGCCTGCTCCCGGGTGGCAGAGGGCAGGCCCAATCCCTAGGTGCAGCCCCTGGTCGGGCTCAGAGCAGGGCCGATTGGGGAGTTGGGGCGCTGCCCCCTGTCATGCACAGAGCAGGGCGGATCGGGAGGTTGCGATGCCACCCCTAGTCACACTCAGGGCACT